ATCCATCAACGGCTATTAGCCAAGATGGTCAGGGAGACAACCCCATCCTCTGGGTGTCCCTAAGCCTCTGACTGTCAGTGGGGCAGGATGGCAGGGGAAGGATCGTTTGAAATTGCTCTGTTCTGGTCATTCTCTTTGAAACACCTAGTTGCTATTGGAGACAGGACACTGGGCTAGATGGACCATTGGTCTGACCTGGTGTGGCCCTTCTTATGTAAGAGGGAGCAGCAATGATAGGCCGGCACCCCAAAGTCTGGCTCCCAGGAAAATGTTCTCCTGTTCTCTGAGCGTTGGGACACCACCCCTTTGGGAAGCAGGGGACCAGCTGCGTGACTGGCGTTGAACCGCTTCAGAACGGGGGTTTCAGCTCAGGGAGAAGCCAGGTGCATTCTGCGCTGCGAAATGCAAACTTCACACATCTCTAGTAATTAGCCGAGGGCAAGATCTGCCATCCCAATCAGCCAGCGTAGAGCCTCTCTGCAGCCCCGCAGGGCAAGTCTCCAGGACAAGTGACATAAGAAGGTTCTTTTGCAGCGAAGGTGGTTTCTCTGGAGGGAAGCTGCTGCCTCCCACGCTACCTGTCATTTCTTGACCTTCAGTGTCTTTCCCGCACTCGCTCCAGCTGAAAGAAACTTCTCCTGCCTGCCACCCTAGGCTCACAGGGCTCTGACAGAGGAGCTGATGGCATAGATGCAAAGGGCCAGGGTGCTGGGGGGAGCCTACCAGCTGCCAGAGAAGGACTCCCCATCCCTGGTACCTTTTGGTTGAATTAATTTGTGAAGGCAGAGGATCTAGGGGGTCTGAGGCCAGGCCCCATCTGATGGCTGGATGGGGAGATACACCCCAGTGGAAGGGGTGGAGTCACAACCCTGCGACTCTCTGCCCCACTCCACTCGAACCTGATGCAACCCCCCAGAAGATTGAAGCGTTTGCCTCAGAGGCCTGTATGTGCAATTTACGTGTTGTACCTGGCTGGAATAATATGCTATGATGCAGGACGAAAAGATGAGGGGGGCTGCTGCAGAGGGCGGTGCAGCCGCAGAGATGCATGGGGGGTGTATTCAGTACCAGGGCAACAGAGGGGGCTACATGGCAGGAGTGAGCTGCATTGGCAGAGTCCCTCGGCTGGAACAGCAAAAGGAGTGGTGCAGTTCAATAGAGCTGAGGGGGGTGCAGGACTGGTGCAACAGGAGGGCTAGGTTTTAAGTACATCAGCAAGCCAGAGGAGGAGGTGGAGACAGAGTCAGCGCGTGTGTTGCACAATGAGGTCTTGGCTAGCCTGGAATAGGCTCTGTGCAGCTCTCTTCAAAAGCTGTTTGCCGCAGCGATCCTATTTTTGTCGTTCCCAGCGAGAGGACGGTGCAGAGAGAGCTGTCCGTGAATGGAGACATGTGCAAACGAACGGCCGATCGCTCCTGCAGACGAGCTCCCCAAGGGCCGCCAGCATTCAGCCAGAGACACAGAAGAGATCACTCACAGCCCCGCGCCTGGAGGACAGAGGCCTCAGCGGGAAATCCACCTGCTCCAGCTCTTAGCAGAAGACTTAAATGGTGGAAATAATGATGTCCCCCCCCCACCACACACACAAGAGCCCCCCCATAACCAAATAGCAGGAGTGCAGCTCCCATAACGTGGTTAAGAGTGGAGAGATGAGCAACATGTATTCAGAGAGGTTTATGAAGGCAAGCTGCCGCACATATATAACTCTAGAGTATAGCACCAGAGGCTGCTAGAAATCAGGCACGAAGGACTTCTCTGTTGTCACAGGAGCCGGGGGGTGTATGGGGAGGAGCTGAGACTGGGAGTCGGGGGGGGAGGGGGGATGAGTCACTCGGTTTGCAGATTGTTCCAGGAAAAAATGCTTTTAATAACAAGAATACTCAGTGCCACCAAGGATCTCAAAGCACTATGCAAAAGTGTGTGAATCCCAGTATGGTCTCTGTTCTGCATACAAAGAGCTGGATTCTTGGCTCTGCTAAATCAATCCACCTTGTACCAGTCAGGCAAAGCGGACTTAAAAGCAGCAGAAAATTCACCCTGCATAGGGCAGCTCCCGCAGGGAAAGGAAAAGAATCCCACTTCCACACCAGCTATCCCTCCCTCAGCCCTGGCACAAGGGGTGGTCACCGAAGGGCGTCACACGAGTGGCACAGGTTACAAATGCCCACCAGCGTAGACAGAAGCTGGAAGCCAGGAGACCAAGGATCTATAACCAACTCCCTGTGGCCCCCTTCTCCCCACTGCCCCCAAGTGGAGCAGAGAATCCAGCTGAGGGAAACTGAGGCACAGAGTCAGGAAGCGATTGCTCCAAGGCCAGGAGATACAAGGCTCATAGTCCTCTCCCAGCTCTTCCGTAATTTCCAAATGCATTTGCTTGGGCTTAGCAAAGCTGGGGAGTTTTCACAGCTCTGAGCACACCCTGAGGTCTCAAGATACCCAAACCTAGATGGAGAACAGCTAAATAAATATATCACGGGTAGGAGGTCCCCCAGTGACTGTCAAGTGCTGAGATGGTGTGATGAGTGTGGGTGGAGGCCAATATTCCTTCGGACATTTCCCATCCATGGGGAGAATAAATTTTGTTATGTGCGCCGAGACATGTGCGGATATGCACCAGCAGTAGAAACACATGCTGCCAGCTCTGAGCACTATGCTCATCATCTTTCCTGGGTGGCTGCCGCCCACTCATGCAGCTTACGGGGAACACTGGTAGAGACATTGGCGCTACCTCTACACTGCTGGTTTTTTGCGGAAGAGGATATGCAAATGGCGCGCTTATTTGCATATCTTCTTCCGATTCTTTTTGGCAGAAGAGGTTTTGCTGCTAAAAAGCCCCGTGTCGATGGGGCCATGTGTCAGGAAAACCCCCTTTTTCGCAAGATCCTGTAAACCTGTCTACACGGGGCTTTTTAGCAGCAAAACCTCTTCTGCCAAAAAGAATCGGAAGAAGATATGCAAATAAGCGCGCCATTTGCATATCCTCTTCTGCAAAAAAAAAAACTGCAGTGGAGACATAGCCTGAGAGACCGAGGACCCACTGCACAGCCATGGCTACTTAGCTAGTGAGAGAGAGGGATGGCATGCATGGCAGTAAAGGTGCAGGTGGGTATGAGAGGTACCCTGTGCCAGCTCTGAGCTTGGCACTCTTGGTCAGCGAGAGCCGAGCTCCGTGCAATTTGTGCCGTGATTACTTCTACGGGGTTCAAATGAGGAATCTCTAATCTGGGCCAGAAATCTGGTAACAGCTACTGTTGTAAATTACCCAACTCCACAGGTAATTTCTGATGAGCTCACTCCTCTCCCCTCTGTGCATGCTCAGTTTCCATAGCAGCTAAGACCTAAATAAAACGGAAACATCTGGTGGAAGCACAGGTAAAGCTCCCTGGGGAAAGAAACCCGCTGGATGGCAGCCAGCAGAGATAACAGCCCCTCTGCAAGACAGTAGTGGCAGAACCTCAGAGATGGGGAGAGGGGAGGGCCTGGGGAAGGAAGAAAGAAAGAAAGAAAGAAAGAAAGAAAGAAAGAAAGAAAGAAAGAAAGAAAGAAAGAAAGAAAGAAAGAAAGAAAGAAAGAAAAGAGATGAATGACTCTGGAGTAGGAGCAAATGGACCAGAGCGGAGATCCCCTCCCATTAACGCTGGCTGATAGTGATAGATGTACTGGTAGTAACCTTGATCCTGTGCCATTAGATGCTCCGCTACAGCAGGGAGCTCTCCGTGGCAGGGACTTTCTCAATTACCCCCGTGGAGGGACCTCTCAGCAGCTTGTCCCGTGTGGGGTGCAGACCTCTCCCGCGGAGAGGCTGGGTTTTCTAACAGACCCATCTGAAAAGTGCCCAATGGTACCTGACCGAAAAGGAACAGAGGGAGATGTCGGGCTCCGCCCCTCTTGGTCCATAGCGATTGATGAACCAGCCCAGCAGCATTACATAGCAGTGGGGTCGGCTGGGGTGGCTTTCAGACGCTGCTGTGATTAGCGTGGCAGGGCTGGCAGGGCAGCAGAACCTTGCACCACAAGGTCTGTAGCTCTTCCGGCTGCCTGCAGGGGCAGGATTTGGGGAGCTCTAGGCAGCCTTCGGGGGCTGTGTGTGGCCTTACACTGGGGAGCAAGGGGCAAATGGGTGAGTTTCCTGGACGAGTTAAGTTTGTCTAATGGAACCATTCGGCTCTGAGGCTCTTCCACTCCAGGCAGGTGTGGCCAGAGAGCTGCATGGTATCACAGTCAGACCCTGCCGTGGTCCGCCCGACAGCTGGCTGGGGGGCACTGCAAGCAGGGACTTCCCCGTCCCTACCCTAGTCTAACCCCTTCTGGAAAAGACTAGGGAATCGCACAGCGCACTAGCAAGTTAAATGCAATACGTGGGACAGTAGTTTGAAACGTGCTCAAACGTCGCTGAACCTGGGCCTGTAGGAATAAACTCTCCAGCAATCAAACCCACTCTGTTACGGCCCACTGTTGTATATTCATTAACGAGAGATGGCAATTAGCACAACTTGTTGAGTGGCTTTCCTTCTTTTTTTGCACTAGCTCTCGTTGGAACTTATAAGTAAATCCCAATGGTGGCTTTTCATATTGCATTTGAAAGTGGTGTTTTGCATAAGTCCTACAAGAAAAACAAATGTTGCCCTGGCTCAGATTTGCACCCACTAACATCTCCAGTTACCACACGAGTCTGATTAAAGCATTCAACCCATGAACATGACAGAAAAAACAAACTAACTTGCACTTAGTGTAGGTCCTACACAAACACAGCTGGGAATTTGTGCCTCGTTAGCCCTGAATCCTCTCTTCAGCACAGAGTTTTCCCGAGATCAATTCCCAGGGCAGGGGAGAATGGCGACTCCTTTCCAGCCATCAGGCAGAACGGCAGATGCTCTGTGGCCACTATTCCCAAATCCCCTCCTTGCAGCCTGCACCACATCCTTCCTGGTGAATGGGACCCTCCCCCCCGCTGCAGGGAGAGCGTGAGGAACGTCTTAGGCCACATGTGGACATCTTACCTTTGGGGGAGATGTGCCGCCAGGTGATGGTGGGATCCGGCCTGCCCGTGGCTATACAGGTGAGGCTGATGTTGCCGCCTTCGTTGATGGAAATGTCGGAAGAGATCTCAACAATTTTGGGAGACACTGGAATGACAAACAGGGAGAAGTGAGGCCACTGCCGGGTCCCGTGTGACTGTCCCACTCGCGTTCTCCAGGCTGTGTGTGGGGGCCGGCGGGAGCGGGGACGTTTGTGTGCACACATGTGCATGAGCAGGTGCGACGGTAGGTGGAGTCTCCCCATCGCACTAGCTACAAGCTAAGCAACTGCCCATCGGTCCCCTCAGACATGGCGGCGAAGGAGTTGGGGATTCCTCCATTTCCTTCCCAGAGATGCCAGATGCCCCAATCCTGCCGTAACTTACTCCTCACCCACTGGAATCATGTCCTAACTGGGGAAATACACCCTCCTCGGAGCTCTTGCTGGTGGGGTGCCCAGAGCTCTCTCGTCGTCTGGCGCTGATTAACGCCCCTTGTTCCCATCATGGAGATCCTGGAGAGTAGCTGCCAACCCGCGGGAGAGGGAACGCACCTACACCAACCCTGGGATGAGATCCACTAGTGGGACTGGGGCAGCCATTCAGGGGCACAGGGGGGAAGAGAACCAGATGGAGGGGCAAGTTCAGGGTAGGTAGCCCCCTGCGTTTACCCAGCTCAGCCCCTTTAAAACCTCGTCCTGAGGCAGAGGAAGGGCGGGCTGTCCTGAGGCAGAGGAGGGAAATCAGAGAGGGAGCATGACAGGGATGGGGGGGAGGGGGGTTGTTGCTCCAGACAAGAGAACTATGGCAAACGGGCCTTCACTTAGGGGGCAGGCGAGAACCGGCTCGAAGCCTGGGAGGGACAGTGGCTCACCGGGAAACCCCCAAGAGGGGAGCCCAGGGGGGACCTGTCAGGACGGAATCACCTGAGACGCATGAACTGGAGCCACCTGACGTGTATGGGGGGCTGAGTCCTGGGGCTTGTGGCGTGGCCTGGGGAATAAGGAAGGAGTGGGAGGAGGGGGAGCTAGCGAAGAGTGGGGGGGGGGCTGTCACGTGGAGAGGATTTGTGGGGAGCAGCAGAAGATGGCACCGGCCGAAAGCTGGCTCATTGTGAAAATGCCCAGGACACAGAGGTGGTGCTGACCCACAGGGGGCCCTACACAGGCATATTTCAATAAAAAGCGAATAGCAGCCCGCTCCATCTTCTCAGGAAATTATTTAACCTGCCTGTGCCTGGCTCTGGCTCTCCATCCACGGCTTACTGCTGGACGGCAACTCTGCCCAGGACAGGGGGCTGGCAGAACTAGTGGGCCCCTGTCATTTTATACCAGGTGCCACGCCCCCACAGAGGGAGGGGCCTCAGGCAGAAGGGGCAGGGCTGGGAGGCCAGCAATATAAAGGGCCCGAGGCTCTGGCTGCTGCCTCGAGCCCTGGACCCTCTCACATCACTACGTCCAGGGGCCACTGTCCCCTT